TGGGACAGCACAGGTTGTTCAATGGCACACAACAGGACAAGTATGAACACAATTGAACACTTGCTGACTGCCTTGGCAGGGCTGAAAATGTTTGAATCTGCTTACTTTGCGCGTAAGTCCATTTGGCATGTCTTGACATGTCTTGACACATGTTCTCATGTAATCTCATGTAAAACCATCCTTGTTGCCATAGATGTTGCCATATTGGTTGACATAGGTTGACACTTGTTCAAATCTGTTCAAATATGATCACATATCTGCAAACGAAACATGGACTTCTTCGACTACATTTGATATAATTTTATTACATTTGCAACGTATTGAGATGTCACAGGATTTCACGAGGATGCCTAGCCATGCCCATACCCAGGGAACTAAAATCAAAATAAATCAGAGAAGGTCAACTGCGCACGGGTTGCGCAATAATGATCAATAATGTGCTATACAAAGAACCGCTGCTACTGCATGCTACTGCTCATGATCCAAAACGCATCAAAGCTCTCAACGGCCAATCAATGACTGGATCAATCGATGGTCATCACCAAAAGGCCTTTCTGAGCAGCCTGCAAAACAACAGAAAAACATCAGAAAACAACTGCAGCCAGCAGTAAAAAATGTTCTTGGTATGGTTTGGCAATGCTTGACAACAAAAGTCAAGACTCAAGATTCTATCTCCAATATTCTCCAATCTTCTCCATATTGTATTCATGATTATACATGTACTTCTAACAAATCTTCTAACGTACCCCTATCGCACCTCTAACATCCTTCTGCCATGCCTCTTAAGTTCCTTTGGCCCATTTGACCCATGGCGTGGCTTCATAATGCTTGATAATGCTTCATATTGCAGGGGTATACTGTAGAGCTACGATGCAGGTGCTGGCAGAGCTACGGTAAAGGTACGGTAGAGGTACGGTAGAGAAGGAAAACTCTACCGTACCTCTACCGCACCTCTACCGTTATGCATGTTTTTACATGTACTTCTAACGTAGCCCTATCGCATCTCTAACATCCTTCTGCCATGCCTCTTAGGTTCCTTTGGCCCATTTGGCCCATGGCGTTGCTTCATAATGCTTGATAATGCATGATAATGCTTCACATTTCACTGTTCGCAATTTGGGGTGTAGATTCGTTAGGTTTAGATCCGCATAGATCCGCTACCTTTCAAATCTCAAAAAATCCCAAAAAATCCCAGAAGTTCATGTCTGATATCACGATATATCACCAAGAGGCAGTAATGAGGCAAAAGAAAAATGCAGGCATGAACGGTTCTTTCCTATGAAAGCAGTGCGATTTTTTTGGGGACAAGCCGTTGATTGAAACAATGGCAACCAATCTAATGACAAGTGATCCCTGTCAGTTGAAACTGACGATTGAGGGTTCTGAACGATTCTGAACGTAGTAGCAGGCATGACCTTGGCTCAATTGACATTGACCTTAAGCCCATGCAACAATAGACACTGGCAACAGCAATGCCAAGTAATGACAACTTTCGCACCTGTATATGCGAGATTGTGCAAGCACATCACTCCTTTTAGACGCTTGTTGGCCCATTGTGAGACATTTTGCATTTTGAGCAACTTTGAACAATTTTGAGCAAATTTGAGCAACTTTGAACAATTTTGAGCATTTTTTAGCAATTTTAGGCAGTTTTTTCGGGCCTGTTTGGGTCATCTTGGAAAAAGTGAGCATTTTTGTCGGGCAAGTGTCGGTCATGTCGAGCAATTCTGAACAATTTTTGGAAGCACGATATGGCATTGTTGACCATGGACAATGTTCAAAATGTCTCAAATGAGGCTGCTTTGAGACATCTTACTTTGGCTGAAAAAGGTAGCTGATTACCCCACGGATCTAGACCCTAAAACATCCTACAACGAGATCAGTGAATATTGCAGGGGTATACTGTAGAGCTACGATGCAGGTGCCGTACCTCCGTACCTCTACTGTACCTCCCCCTGCTTCTGCAATATTCTTCAATCTTCTCCATATTGTATACATGACTATACATGTACTTCTAACAAATCTTCTAACGTACCCCTATCGCACCTCTAACATCCTTCTGCCATGCCTCTTAAGTTCCTTTTGCCCATTTGGCCCATGGCGTGGCTTCATAATGCTTGATAATGCTTCATATTGCAGGGGTATACTGTAGAGCTACGATGCAGGTGCTGGCAGAGCTACGGTAAAGGTACGGTAGAGGTACGATAGAGAAGGAAAACTCTACCGTACCTCTACCGTACCTCTACCGCACCTCTACCGTTATGCATGATTGTACATGTACTTCTAACGTAGCCCTATCGCATCTCTAACATCCTTCTGCCATGCCTCTTAGGTTCTTCTACCATACCTCCACTGTACCTCTGTCTATCGTACCTCTGTGACCCTCTATGTACGCCTGTTCCCTATGGAAATGGCAATTTGGGGGGCTTACACCATTGTCATCCAATGTCATCCATTTTCAAACAAACCAATGTGCATGTGCTGAAGGTCATTTTGGGATGGTTTCCCCAAGTTGGTTTTTCTGCAGGCCTTTCTTCAGGGCAACCAACAAGGACTCCATCTTCTCGCTGCCCAACATGGAATCTGCCACCAGAATATCCATGAATATCCTACTGGGAGGATCTGGTAGCGATCTATCGTTCTACCAACCCGAGGACATGGAAACATAGGGAGACATAGCGAGATGGGGTCATGGTGGAATGGGATTGCTGGGAATGGCATTGGATTGCCAGCACCAACTTTCCACCATAGATTTTAAAGCATTTTAAAGCTAAGTGAAATGCAAAATGCTTCACATTGAAATTCACCGTTAAGTGATGATTTGTCATGATTCGTCGAAGTCCATTAATGACCATTGATTTTTTAGTTGATGGCTAAATAATATTAAAATATATTAAATAATGACGATAAGAATTGATGGTTAACTAAATTGAGGCGATCCTGATGAAGTACAAATACGGACAATACCAATCGCTGTAGCCCCTGCAATGGAAAAGAGTCATATTAAAACATATTAATACATATTAAAACATATTAAAAGATATTAAAACAATGCCAAGCATTGCCAGGCCATCAAGTGCTGCATGTGTGCTAGTGATTGCTAGTGCAATCTATCGCATGCTGGCATGCAGCGCTAAGCAAGGCATTTTTCCGGCCCAAACTCCCCTGGTCCCTTGATCCACTGCGCGCCCATGGGGATGCTTCAGCGGTGCATTGTACCTTATCACAGCGCATACCTCGTCTGAACTCAGGTTGCACCTGAGGAACGCAGGGAGTCCATGCCGCCCTGGAAGCATAGTGTGTGCCACCACCGTGAACACAAGATCAGCTGGGGAAACACCTGCCATCGTTGCTGCTTCAGGCTGCACAAAGCCACTGGGCCAGTCTGCAGGTTTTGGGCAACGAACCCATGGGCAAACAATCCTGCAGAGCTGCACGTGAGCCAGTGGCACAACTTCTGGTGAGGATGTGAGCAGTGCCGTCTCTGTGAGGCACGACGGACCTTTCTGGCACCACTTTCAGCAGCCAGCGAATGAACAGGGCTTCAAAGAAGTCGCACCTGGACAGTGGATGACAGTGGGTTGCAACTAGCTTTAGACTCTCAAGATTGATGTCAACTCATGTCAACTCCACATGCATTTGCCAGCTCACCCCATGAGCCATGCAAGATTTCAACCAAAAATCTGCTCTGTGCAACTGTCATTCCATGTTTTTCCATGCCATCCCATAATCTGCTATGTTTTTTAATGATGTTGAACAATGTCGAACATAATTGAGCGATGCGAAAAGATGCGAAAAGAACGTGATCACGACATATATCGACATATCACGACACATCATGACATATCATGACATATCATGACATTATATGACTCATGATTCATGACCCACAGTGTTTCCACCAGATTCCACCAGCTTCCACACAAGGGCCACAGCAGCTTCTCATGTGCTTCCACAGACAAACAGCTAGGAGCTTTTCTGCCATCAGTACCAAAATCAGCGAAGCCACCAGGAACAGGCCATGGTAGTTCATTGCCAGCTGCGAAGTGCCTGAGAAGAGTAAGGTATGAGTCGGCATCTTGTGGGTGGTACTTCGTGATCCAGTTGGCTGGGGTATCAAAATACTTTCGTGCTTCGCAAAGTAAAGACTGCACGCACTGACATCCAACTAAAGCTGCCCAAGCTGGCCCCACATGAGCAACAGCAATCTGCTGCAGCGATTGCGCCAAAAAGACAAGGGCATTATGCTGAGGCTGGCAGGGTCCGATTGATGTGGTCAGAACGGATGGAAGGTCAAAGGATATAGGACGGAAGAAAATTGGAAATAATGACATATGGCAACATTGTTGAACTCCAATAATATCATCATATTCATCTAGACTGAAATATCCAACAATGACATCAGCAAAGCACAATTTCGGCTGATTGCCACAAACAGACAAAAATGTGACATGTCACACGTATTCAAACAATTTCAGGCATATCATGCAATATATTGCAATATCACAGAGTATCATGCGATATCATGCGCGCATACCTGTGTTCAGAACGTTTTTGGCTAATTTTGGCTAGCTTTGGCTGAGAAGTCATGAGAAGTCTCCATGGGCAACCTATGGGAACCCAACTTCAAGTCACGTTAAACATTTCGAACATGCACCATCATGCACCCACACGATGCCGCATGGATCAGCAATGATCAGCATGGTAAACGTATGATAACATATGATGTAACAGTCGCGGGGGTGTCTAGATGAAATTAGACGAATTTACCTCTGCAATGCTGGAACTTAAGTAGTTGCGACTTTACATGAACGAATGATGAGTAATGATGAAAGCAAGGAATGGCAAGGACACTGGCTTTGATTTTGACTTGTCATTGCAAGTCACTTTGAACACTTTGGATCGGTATTAGACTGAAAAAATGGTTGGCAAGGCTGCTTCCGTATTATGTAATCCTTTTGTAAACTGACATAAACTGACAACACAGTCCACGGCCGTACATGGCGGTACGACAGCTGAAGTGCCATACAGAGAAAGGTTTGGAACGCTCCCAGCAAGAAATAGGCAACACCATATAGCACAAAACCCCACCATGATTTGAACATATTTGAACCCTGTTGTTTTACCATGTTTTACCATGTTTTACCATGATTTACCCCCTCCCCCCTCCACAATGTTACTTTGGGAAAGGATGGGAAGGGGATGGAGTTACCCGCGCTTATGGGTGCCACCCGTAAGAACGGGTAATTGTTTGGTAGAGCGGGTGGATTCAATTTTAAAGGAAAATCTATACATACGGCTGCCCTACCCGCGGCAGTGAATGCTTCCCCGCGCTTATGGGTGCCGTCCATAAGAGCGGGTAATCCTGGGGCGCCAGATGTGTCCATCCAGCAAGGATATGGACTGGATGTGTCCCCAGGATCACCCGCTCTTATGGACGGCACCCATAAGCGCGGGGGAGCATTCACTGCCGCGGGTAGGGCAGCCGTATGTATAGATTTTCCTTTAAAATTGAATCCACCCGCTCTACCAAACAATTACCCGTTCTTACGGGTGGCACCCATAAGCGCGGGTAACTCCATCCCCTTCCCATCCTTTCCCAAAGTAACATTGTGGAGGGGGGAGGGGGTAAATCATGGTAAAACATGGTAAAACATGGTAAAACAACCAGGGTTCAAATATGTTCAAATCATGGTGGGGTTTTGTGCTCCTTGTGGTTCTGGTGCCATGGTGACTGTCTGGGTTTCAGTTTTGGGGCTTCCATTCCAGTAGTGCTATAATGTGCTATATGGTGTTGCCTATTCTTGCTGGGAGCGTTCCAAACCTTTCTCTGTATGGCACTTCAGCTGTCGTACCGCCATGTACGGCCGTGGACTGTGTTGTCAGTTTATGTCAGTTTACAAAAGGATTACATAATACGGAAGCAGCCTTGCCAACCAGCTAAAAATCTCACCTCCCTTCACTCAACTCTACCTTTCGTTCATCCCTGGTTGCCTTCAAGTTTCCTGGGGTCTTTCATCCTGCCAGGGTGCAACATCACACGTGAGGATTCCAACAGTGTGGATACATGTGAACACACAATATATCACAATATCACATTGTTTGGCCAGCCTTGGAAACGTTAAACGCCGCCAGCAGCTTGCCAGGTGGATGCGTCTGAGTACCGGGCCTTTGCAGAGCATGTGCACGTGATGGATGTGAAAGGTCCTCCAGCTGAGGGCTACTACAAGCGGCTGAAGGAACTCGTGCTTGATCAGGCCAATTCCTCTGAAGCTGAAGTCATTCGCCTGGACCAAGTGACTTGTGACCTTTCTCCTGGTGACGGACGGTGGCGTTGGGTCACACGAGAAACGATCCTGCACAAGTTCGAGCTATGGTCGGCTGGTGGGGCAAACTGGGGACCAACAATCCAGCTCTGTGGATCAGCCCCTTATAGCATTTGCATTGAGCACCAGAGGATTGGGAGCGTCCACTGCTACATGCAATGGTGTTTCTTGGCGAAACATGGCGAAACCATAACAATATCCACCCAATGTGATGTGATTTTGGAATATTCACGGTCGCTTCACAGCGAAAACCGCCCGCATCAAGTGCAATAGATAACACTCACATATGTTGGAGGATGTTTGGCCATGTTTGGCATTTTTTTTTAGCACTTATTGGGCACTTTTTAGCGGCTATCTTGGCCCCATATGAGGGTATGTTGGATCCATTTGAGGCTATGATCTTAAGCTCATGTTGGGCCTATGTTGAGCCTATCTTGACCCATTTTTGGCCTATAGTGGCCCAGATCAAGAATTTTGACCCCTTTTGAAAAACATGCAAAAACAGGGTTCCAGAGCAAAAATGCAACCCCCCAAGCCAAAGCTTATTAGCTATAATGCAATTGCTAACGGTTCACGCAGGCACACAAAAAAACGCCTCGGCACCTTCAGTGCGAGCGGATTTTGGATGATTTTGACATGTACCACTGAGCATGGCTTCTGTTCAGCCAGACATGAAATGATGCTGTCTCTATATGTCTCTATTCTAGTTGTACCACTGAGCATGGCTTCTGTTCAGCCAGACATGAAATGATGCTGTCTCTATATGTCTCTATTCTAGTTTATGAGATGTCCAATGCATCCATGGGCGTGTCAGGCTACTTGACTCAGCGCACCCCTGCAGATTGGGCGAAAACCATGGCCAAGGCAATCCCTTGCAAGCTGGAGTCTTTGCAGCCAAAGCAGGCAGATACATACTACTACATACTACTACATACTACTACTACTACTACTACAACTACTACAACTACTACAACTACAACAACAACTACTACTACTACTACTACTCCTACTACTACTACTACTACTACTACTACTAACTACTACTAACTACTACTAACTACTACTAACTACTACTAACTACTACTAACTACTACTAACTACTACTAACTACTACTAACTACTACTAACTACTACTAACTACTACTAACGACTACTAACTACTACTAACTACTACTAACTACTACTAACTACTACTAACTACTACTAACTACTACTAACTACTACTAACTACTACTAACTACTACGAACTACTACGAACTACTACGAACTACTACGAACTACTACTAACTACTACTAACTACTACTAACTACTACTAACTACTACTAACTACTACTAACTACTACTAACTACTACTAACTACTACTAACTACTACTAACTACTACTAACTACTACTAACGACTACTAACTACTACTAACTACTACTAACTACTACTAACTACTACTAACTACTACTAACTACTACTAACTACTACTAACTACTACTAACTACTACTACTACTACTAATACTACTACTAATACTACTAATACTAATACTATTACTACTACATCATACTACTACATCATACTACTACATCATACTACTACATCATACTACTACTACTGCTGCTGCTACGTTCAGAATCGTTCAGAACCCTCAATCGTCAGTTTCAACTGACAGGGATCACTTGTCATTAGATTGGTTGCCATTGTTTCAATCAACGGCTTGTCCCCAAAAAAATCGCACTGCTTTCATAGGAAAGAACCGTTCATGCCTGCATTTTTCTTTTGCCTCATTACTGCCTCTTGGTGATATATGGTGATATCAGACATGAACTTCTGGGATTTTTTGGGATTTTTTGAGATTTGAAAGGTAGCGGATCTATGCGGATCTAAACCTAACGAATCTACACCCCAAATTGCGAACAGTGAAATATGAAGCATTATCATGCATTATCAAGCATTATGAAGCAACGCCATGGGCCAAATGGGCCAAAGGAACCTAAGAGGCATGGCAGAAGGATGTTAGAGATGCGATAGGGCTACGTTAGAAGTACATGTAAAATCATGCATAACGGTAGAGGTGCGGTAGAGGTGCGGTAGAGGTACGGTAGAGGTACGGTAGAGTTTTCCTTCTCTACCGTACCTCTACCGTACCTTTACCGTACCTCTGCCAGCACCTGCGTCGTAGCTCTACAGTATACCCCTGCAATATGAAGCATTATCAAACATTATGAAGCCACGCCATGGGTCAAATGGGCCAAAGGAACTTAAGAGGCATGGCAGAAGGATGTTAGAGGTGCGATAGGGGTACGTTAGAAGATTTGTTAGAAGTACATGTATAATCATGTATACAATATGGAGAAGATGGGAGAATATTGGAGATAGAATCTTGAGTCTTGATTTTTGTTTGCCAACCTGAAGCACCAGGACGTCGTGGTAGTTGGAGCGCTGCACCCAGAACACTTGCACAGGCTCGGCATGGCATGGAACAGTGGGTATGACATGGTATGACATGGTATGACATGGGATGACTTCACCGAAATTTAATCAGCAGCCTCTCATTATGATATATTTTTCTGATGAAAACACGCAAAAAAACAAACACATGTTCATCGTAGGATCTTTTTGGTTCAAGACATTTCAACACATTTCAAGACTGGCTCATCGAAATGTCGAATTTTCTGCCTCCACTGGAACCGGAAGAAGAGTCTTGAATGCACCGAAGCGTTTTCAACATTTTTCAACAAGGCCATGGCTATGTCCCATTATGTTCCAACTACTGAATCTGCAAGCTGCAGTGCTGTCAGGCTCCGAGGGCATAGAAGGAAAATTATGGATGTCCATCCTGCAAAGAATATTAGATAGTATATGATATATTATGATATCATATTAGCATCAATCAGATGCATCAGGTGATCATGTAAGATTGTTTGACATTATATGTATCGCATATTGTAGGACAGCAATTCAACGCACTCCAATGACTGCAACACAGCAGATCGATCTGCCATCATTGTGGTTCGACTCAGTTCGACATGCCCCGGTCCCGATATGCTACCAACAAAGAGGCGGGATTGAAACGACCTGCCAGCAGCTACGCTCTGTTCTGCCGCTGGCTTGCCAAAGTTGGCGTTGATGTCAATCCCCGTAGAGTTAGGCATCGCATCAATGGGAAGAGGCATTGCAATTCTGCCAAGTCCGCGCAAGCGTTGTGGTAGCTCTGGAGCGTTTCAGAACCTTTATATCGACGTTTACGTTTTCCACCTATCTTCCCACTTCAAACCACCAATGTCATTGTATGATATTGTATGATGTTGTAATATGTTGTAATATGTTGTAATAAATTATGTGGACATGTAAAGACCTCTATGGCATTGTGTTGGGAGTGTCAAGATGTGTCAAGATATGTCAAGATAATTTCATGTTTTTCAGTCATGCAGTATCATCATGTATCATACAGTTGCAAGGTTTCCGCTCCTTGTACTGTAATTCTTCCTGGTGTTCCTTGTATCATCTTGTGTCAAACTGCACTTTTGACTTGCAAATGTGCTTCACGCCTAAGCCATGTGCACATTTTGAACATCGGCGCGCAAAAGTGTTCTGGCGCTGCTGTGTTTTCAATTGGTTTCACACTTTGGATTTGCAAATGTGCGTCCCACCATGTGCTTGGTGCCTAGGCCGCATGCACTTTTTGAACATCTCATCGTGCAAAAGTGTTCCAGGGATTTCTAGGGCTGGTGTGGCTTTGATTGTTTTTGCGTTTTTGACTTGCGACTGTGCTTCACGCCTAGGCCGCGTGCACTTTTTGCTTCCTCTCCTCCAGACATCCCCAGACAGCCCTCCAAATCCATTTAGCGAGCCTACCTTCTGGACCCGCCAGAGCGCAAACGTGCTGTGAAACATATTGTTTCACGACTTCTAACATTTCGCTCAAGCGTATCTTCTCTCTTCTTATCTTCTCTCTTTTGATCTGTTCTCTTCTTATCTGCTGATCTTCTCCCTGGTGAGCGAGTATGATTTGTCCATAAGTCGGAAGTTTCACAGTTTCACCTCTAAACTTCCTTTGATCATATTTGATCATATCATATCACAGCATGTCGCAGTCACGCCTCCTAAAGACAAAGACAATTTAATTTGTCAGTATTTGTGGCAATGCAACATTCATGGTTACGAGGTTTCATGGGCTCACAACTGCAATCAACTGCAGGCAAAAACGGCCTGACCTTCGAAGCCACTTTGCCAAACTCGCCCAGCAAAATGTCCAAAAAAATGAAGAAGCCCGGAATGCCTTCCTTCAAGGAGTGCAAGCCCAGCCTGCAGTGATGACCCCATGCTCTAATGCTGAAAAGGCAAAGCCAGAAGCCAATGGCTTCCTTCTCAATGGAGTGCGTTTGCATATAAATACTGTGTTAGGGCAAGGCACCTATGGTGCGGTATGGAAGTGTACACTTGATGGGTTGGCTTTGGAGTTTGCTTTGAAGTTATACAAATGCAATCAAGCAGGGTATGCTTTGGTCGAGGCTGGCAAGGAGTTTCAATTTTTTCGGGACCCGCGCGGCTCTCCATTTGTATTGGATTGCTACGGAGCTGTCGCCAATAGCAATGGGAACACTGGCTTGCTTCTTCCATTGGCATCAATGTCTTTGGCGAATCTCCTTCAGAAAAAAGATCACCCAACACCAGCTATCCCAACTATTACCCAGTTGCTGTGTGGCCTAGTTCATTTGTGTGAGCGAGAAGTTCTGCATTGTGATTTGAAGCCATCCAATATATTGGCTATGCCTGATGGCCGCTTCGTGATCACTGACTTTGGCTTGGCCAAGCGGCTCCATGGTGGGCGTGTGACAACCCATGGGAATTTTTGTTACAGTATGCCTTACCGGCCTGTGGAGGCATTAGCTGCTGGAAAAGACCAGGCTGGCCCATGCCCATATCAAAAGCTTGTCCAGTTGAACAAACTTGAACATAGTTGCTTCTTGTGTCCCTGATTATCTATCTACAGCTATCTTATAAATTCTTATAATATATTATATTATATTATATTATATTTTAATATCTTATACCCTTGTCTCGAACTATTTCTTGGGATTGAGATGGGTTGAGATTGTGCTTGTGTGATGATTGCAAATAATTTGGAAGCTTTATAGGGCTTCCATGTAGCGCCATGCAACAAATTGCAATAATATATGTTTATTATATATAATTCCCTTTCGACATTTTATATTATGATTCAATGTGATTATATAATATTATATTTTTTTATAATTATAACTGATTATATATATATAGATAATTAATGATGATTATAATATTATATTTAATTATATGTTTGACATTTTATGACCATATTCAGAGAATGTCAGATATTCTCAAACCATCTCATACAATCTCATACATTCTCAGACTATGCAAGATATTTGTAAGATCAGTTCGTGTCATTGCACCTGTATTGTATCATATTGTGGAAGGGTTCTGTACATCCCAGTGTGGTCAGACGATATGAGACGATTGCAGGTCATCCTGTCAGATTGCGCAGATGTCTGGATCTGGGCAAAGGAGTGCAAAAAATGGATAAAAAATGGGGCATCAGGCTGCGTTGGGTTTGATATGAATAGAATTGATTCGATACCTCTTGAAGACGCAAAGCCATGATAACTTGTATAGATCGATTTCGACTCAATGTATATCGATTGCCAATGTATATCAGATGTCAATTTTGAGGGAATGTTTTTGGAATATATCAACATATATCAAAATGTACCAACAAATCCATCATGATATATCATGATATCACGTGGCCTGCAAAGAGATTCAGTTGGTGCCTGCAAGTAAGTGAAAAACATCTTGGATAGCATCGCTTCCAGTCCCTCTTCATACCCTTTCAAACTTGTATAGATGTTTTTGTTTTTTTGTTTGGCTTGACTTTCTCATACACGTCCATACAATCCCATAATACCCCATATATTCCCTAGTGTTTTGGTTCTTTGTTTGCACTGTTTGATACATTTTGATACTGCGTGGCGCAAGTTGTGAAAGTTGTTCCACATTATACAACATTCACTTTACATTGACACACTCTATGAAATATGTTTCAGACGGACTCCTGATACCTCATGCAATATTATCATAATTTATCATATACTATTCAATCTGTAGCATTTGTTTGCATCTTGATGCAGCATGATGCAGCTACTATTAGCATCTATTAGAATCTATCAGCTGGAGGTCTGTTTGCCATTGTTTTCCCACGTTTTCTATTGTGTTTTCTGATTTCGGGCTTCTAGCATCTTCCAGCTGGCAATGGTTTGGGAAAGCCTGGCGGCAGGGAATGGGAGCGCAAAGATTTCTCACTGCGCTGGCAATTTTTTCATGCAGCTGGCTTTGGCAATGCCTTTGGATTGAAAGCATGATGCCTGATAGCTGGGCTTGCTCTGAGGGGCAACAGGCCAGGAGTACGAGAACTTGGGCTTTGGTTTCCTTCTCTGGCGGTTTGGCTTGATGTTGCTCAGGCAGTCTAAGGCATATTGATAGGATATAATCCTTTCTCTAATACTAAAAGGCACCCCTCTCCTAATAAATGAATGTAGAAGCCAGTTGGAATGTAGAGATTGGACATGGCATCAGGTATCATCAGGTAACCTATGAGGTTCAACACCGAGGTATCTGAATGATTCGTGCTGATTCCAATGGTTCCATGTGTATCGGCATATCAGTGGTTAGCTGTGTTGGCTAGGTAATATAATATATGAATATTTTTAGTGATTTATCCATATTTATCCTGCACAGCTTGGCCATGGCAGAGGATTTGCCGGATGCCTCCTTCGCTGAGCAGCAGGCGAGCGACCCTCTGGTGGGATTGTGGAATGGCATGGTTGGGTTGAGTCAAAATGGGTATTTCCATAAGGTTGGGGTATCCAACAATTCAGAAAAATGTCATTTTAAAGATAGAATAATATGGAAACATAGGTAAACCATGGTAAACCATGATGATGATGATGATGACGACGATGATGGTGATGATGCTGATGATGTTGTTGATGATGATGATGCTGATGGGTGCAGTGATGATGGTGATGTTCGGTCGTCATGATGATGGTGATGTTCTTTGTGTTGTTGTTGAATTTTGTTATGTATGTAGTCATTTAATGTCATTTATCCAGCTCAAACTCGGCCCAGTTTCCTTTAGAATTTGTTTGGTTGCTTGTCGAAGCGGTTTTTAGCTTTGAGAATCTTTGAGAAGCATGCAGAGTTTTTGGCACCGCTCAGTTTTGGAGAGATCACCACCTGGTGCATCAAAGAAGGGTGTCTTCCTTTTCCTTTTTGGAATCCAAGTACTCAGCAATGGGATTTGAAAACCTATCAGTCGTTGATTTTGAAGCCTACTTTGGCCTCGATGATTCAGATTGTTCGGACCGTGTTTGCTAAAAGTCTTCAAGTTTTGGGCTTGGATCACTATTTACTTTAGAAACATCCAGAAGCATGAAGCCGGTGTGAAGTTGTCTGCAGATGGCATTGCCATTTGTACAAATCAAATTCATCTCAGCAACTTATTCTGATTCCGGGCATAGCTAAATGCAACCTAGGGACATGATTCAAACTTTGCAACAACTTCAAAACATGATGCATCTGAGCCGCTGTGCCATTGGGATTTGACACCTGGGGTAACTGCTGTCTGTCCTGGGGTGACTCGGTGTGCCTTGCGGTTGGGGTAACATGGGGTAACTACTGGGTAGATGGGGTAACCAAGGGCACCTGCTTGTAAAGCTTGCTATACCTAGTTTGAGGTGTTGAGAAACTTGGTGGATTCCACATGATTCCACTAAGTCCTTGATTTTCGGGACTCTTCAAAAGGGACAACAAAGAAATACAAAGAATACCTTGGGCTCCAGCTATGAAAGGCATTTAATATATTTCAATTTATTTTCATATATATTTTAATATATTTTAATATATTTTAATATATTTTAATATCTACCTGGGATCCATGTCAGCCTGGCACCCAGCTTGTCCAACAGGCTGCTTCCTGGACCAGATGCTCCACAGCAACGTGTGAAGGCGTTTGCGGCAGATGTTGACAGCGCTGCCTTGCCCTTGTTGCGACTGACTGCATAGGGCCATGTTTTTCTATGTTTTTCTCAGTCAATCTCACTCATCGAATAGCACCAGGGCAGCCAATGATGTGCCATGATACATCATGTATCACCATATATCACCATATTACATCATGATATTTCCAAACAGCTCAGATGCACGATCATGGCAGCTCATCAGTTTTTTAAATTTCCAAGATGGGCGTGGCAACAAGCTGCCCATGTGGGGACTCTTGGGGGGACTTTCCGAAGAAGGAAAAAAAGTTGAGCGAGATGAGACATGATCATGTTCCACTTGAGTGCAGGTCTTGGATTTTTACCTTGTTCATCCTTTTTACCATGGATTTCACTATAAGTTTCTGGATGCCGGAAGGATGATTTAGAGGGGGGGGACCCTGAAAAGAAATATTTTTTCCACTAGGTCCTCCTAGCATAAATCTTGGGGATTATATATACACATATCTCGTCTCAACCATATCATTTGTTAATATATCAATTGTTTACGTTTGGTGTTGAATATAGCAACTTTCCGCTTGACACTGCGCCTCTCAGGTCAGCATTTGGTATGGCGTTAAAGGAGAAGATGAAGGACGGCTGGAAATGGAACTGGCTAGCAGATCGGGCACATATATATATATATTATATAATAATTCAATACAATGTAATACAATATAATGTAATATAATGCAACGTCATATAAAAAGTAGTAACATATAATACAATATTGTACAAGTGTAATACATTGTAATACAATATATTATAATATAAAATAAAAAAACATACAACTTACACAGTTTTACACATAATCGTGACTCGAAAGCAAGGGCCGGTTGTGACAGCTCTGCGCGCTCTCACTATGGATATTGGTCAACAGTTATTAATACCCTCTGGTAAACTAACATATATAACTATGGAAAATCACCATGTTTAATGGGTAAATCCACTATAAATGGCAATTTTCAATAGCTATGCAACAAATTACCGGAGGGTACATGTCGCCTGCAAGGCTACTCCTGGCTGATTTTTAATCCAGACAAATCGTGTTTTTCAGTACCAAGGCACCATGGCCATGTCCCCAGAGAGTTAGGTGTGATGACTTGCAATGACCTCAATTGGCTACACGGATCATGGTTGGTCATATTGGTTGACTTGATCATGATCCGAAAAAAATATCTTGCAGTACCCGGCCTGGTAAACAAACGGTTTGGTATTGAAAATGACCCAGTCAAAATAGTAAGAAAAAATAGTTGATTTACCCAAGAAAAAAGGTTATTTTCCATAGTTATGTTAGTTTACCAGAGGGTATGTTTGTGATTCTTCGTGAATTAATGAATTTGCATGTTGTTTGCTGTTTGGTTAAAAACCACCACCTGTATGCCTGTATGACAATTCATAATATGTTATGTGCTAGATCCGTATTCATTTGCTTCAATCAATCTCAAGGTGTTTTTTTTGGTAAATCTCATTTCATCGGGATTATGTTGGCTAAATTCCTAGATGTTGCAGGTTTTTTGTTGGGCGCAAGGACCCACAGTGGCCCTCTCAGTTGGGCATTCCTTCGGAGTCCTCCTTGAGATCTGCTGCAGGCCTGGTGCTCCGGGTGGATCATCCCACTAAGTCATAATGGGTGGTTCACCAAGGCCCCGGTGGGCCACTTGGACAGATCCTGAACTCGATGATCCTTGCAGGTTGTTGGTTATTTGTTGGTTAACTGGGCTTCATGGTTTCCATATCTAGAAATATCTTAACCAGTCTGTGGATTGTCAGATGGGAGTTATTGGGCGCCAACTTGTAGCTGTTTTTTCGCACCAACTTGTAGTAGTTGCTTTCTATATTTTTCTAGACTAGCCTCTGGTAATTCAACGTAGCCACGGAAAATCATCAGTTTGTGGATGATTCATCTATGGCTAAGGGAAATTACCAGAGGGTAGCAGCAGTTTTATTGTTACTGGCATTCCAAGGATGTTGTTTCTCTATCAATCATTCATTTCCAAAAAATGAAAGTGTTTTTGTGATTTCCCGGATTCTTATCAATGATGTTTACATGATGATTTACAGGTTTCCAGCCAACTGGTCTATCTATTTTGATCTATGTTGTTTTTCTCTACATCTCTAAAAAGGCGGGAGCCAAGCAAGACGTAGGGGATGTGCGGTTCAGGTGCATGCATGTGCCGTACTGTTACTTTGCCATAGTTAGCAACAGGTTGATACCCTCACCCATGATCTTCATACATACTGGTGTACACCGCCATATTCTAACATGGTCAAATGTCACTATAATATGTCCCTTGAAGATATATGTGATAAAAAACACGGCTTCGGCTGAAATAATTAAGGATGTTACAAGCATAATCACCAAGAAAAAGCACGAATGGGGAAGCCTGGAATTCGCCATTCTGGCTTGCTTGACCTCGGTTTGGTCAGTGCTTTCTTGCCATAAATCAGAATGTAGATCAACCAGCTTTCGAGAAACCTTGGATGGGTAACAAATGGCAAATTAGTTGTTTGCCATTTTGGTGGATATATGGAGGTTTCCTAAAAAGGGGGCTACCCCCAGTTACGATCCATTTTTGTTTGGGCTTTTCCATGAAAGAAACTAACCAGCTATTGGGGATCCTCCATTTATATCCATTCTGGTTGGTGGTTTGGAACATGTTTTTTTTATTTTCTATAATATATGGGATAATCCTTCCCATTGACTTTCATATTTTTCAAGATGGTTAAAACCACCAACCAGTATGTATATATATATATATATATCGATGTATGGAAACCCCCATAAACTGAACAGCCAACGCTTTTTTTCAATTCCAAGTCTGGCCACGCCGGCCGTGGCCCCGGCCGCCAGACTTCATCGAAGGCTCAGCTTCCTCTGGGGTCTGGGCCCAGGTTTGCCCTGGGGGCCCAGGATTTGCAACATGTGGAGCATAGATGGAGAAACATGATGTTATGTAGCAGATACTGATTGTGAAATGTTGCGAGTTCAGAATCAACAAAAGATGGGGGGTTGGCCAACCAAAACACTGACCAACCATCTTTGGGATTCATGAAGTGGGCCCCATTTTTTGAGCAGGGCCCATATGACCAACTTCTCCGGTTGATGCGGCAGTTTGATTGTGGCTATCCATTATTCAGAAGTAGGTGGTTTCACGTGGGCACACCTCTAGGCCTGGTCAAGTCACACAAGTTTGTTTGAGACATGCATTCTATGAAAGATAAGCAGATCTCCCTATTTCCGCACTCCTGCGTCTCCTATTCAGTTGATTGCAACCATTAACTTATACTTACTCTATGCTTAATCAGTTGATACACTATCAACCTAACATATATATTACCATACATGTATGTAGGTTGGTTGGGAAGGGGCTGCATGGGGTTTGAAAGAGTTGGTTACATATGGACCTTGGTGCCAATTTTGGCTCAAGGTCCACTCCACATACCTTTTCAAATTTTCCCTACCCACCCACCCTGAACCCCATTGCGGGGGGAGGGGTGTTGGGTCTTTGTTTGATATCACCCCCCGGGTGACATGTGTTTAGACTGTGTCTAACCATCTTACAGATATGTGTGTGTTGGTTTCCAACCACTATCTGATCACGACCCATTGTTATACTTTGTAAAACTATACCCATGTTCAAGGGTTAGATCTTTGGCAGATCAACCAGAGAGACATCCTGCACAGGAGTGAAAAAGAATGATAGCGGGGCAGAGTATGTGGCATCTCTTTCTATATATATATATATATTGCTGGTTACTATTGACCTAACAGGTTGTCCCCTGATTCCCTGTAATGAATATGGTTTTTAGTCTATCAGTTGCTTATGGGCATCCAGGATGCTTCCCAGTGGCAAAAGGGAATGCAACCAAGCCCAACAACCCGCAATGGGGGAACACATGTCCCATTATCTCTTCAACTAACCATGAATTTACGTCAACAGTCTGGAGAAGTGGGCTGCATCATTGAATCGTATCAGATGCGACATGTCTTTTGTAAGGTTCTATTGGGGTCGTTTCCTAAAATTTTATCCTACTGGTCCAGAGACAGGGCATAATATCGAAGTGAAGCTGGGTCAGCTTCGCCTACGGACTGGCCATGAAAGAGCAGATAGGCGACGACCGTGACCTACCGGTACAGCTAGTGAAGGCGGCGTTGTTCAACAACGGTCGAGCGGCCAATTTCAGATCAGTCGATTGAACGGTCTTCAACTTGGCCCTCACGAGCGAACAGACCACTCAGAGTGGGGGCCTGGCAAACATCCGGCATGACCTGGTCAACCAAACCATTGGCATGCAGAGATCGACATGGATGGAATGCAGCAAGGCGAACTCAAGTTATTCATATTGATTCATATCTTGGAAGTTCAATTCGGAAAAAAACATTTGGCATATTCAAATTCATATCCTTGAGCCCACCTTAAGATTTTAACATTTTTCGATGACCCTTTTACTGCTGACTGCTGCATGTGATTTTTCGGAGCCTCCAGGCCCCAGTGATTCCGGGGTTGAGCCGCCATAGTAGCCATAGTTGGCCATGGAAGCAGTATGAATCAGTGTGAATCTAATATCAGTAGCCTAGGTGTTGTTTAAACTCTTCCTTCAAGCAATTGATAGCCCATCAATCCGGACCATTTTGTTTTATTGGCACCAATATTGGTGTCCTTATGTTTCATTGAGTCCTATTGTCAAATTCACATAAATTCACTAGATAGCGCAAAAAAAATATGTACACATCTGGGTTTTCGCCCATGAATCCCCATGTTTGGCTCGTGAAACTCATCAAATTCCCCACGGGATGTTCCACTGAAGTCACTGAGGTGCTCCCAGCAGCAGCAGCTGCGCTGTCCAGAGTGGAGAACCAGGTGCCCAGGGGGGTCGCCCTATCGAAAAGCTGGTCATTGAACCAACCAAGAAAGGAATTTAATTCTATAGTGACCATAGGGGATGGTAAATGTCCCAAAATGTCCCTTAAGTTTTCCTATATCACCCAACTAAGTAGTATTGGAGATATGTCATCTGAGACTCAGATACGTGTTTCGATGTTCAAAAACTCCAAAACAAGACAAATTTGATTTCACATTTACAGCATTTATATGCATTTATCAACATTCTCAGTGACCAACGGTGACCAACCTCTGTTGAGGTGCTGAAATGACATGAAATTACCATACTGGTTGGTGGCTTGGATTTTTTAGTTTTTCATATATTGCGAATGTCATCATCCCAACCAACGAACTTATATTTTTCCGAGGGGTAGGTATACCACCAAGCAGTTGAGCTTCCCCACTTCCCTTGCCTCGTCGGTGAAGGTGCGAGAGGTGGTTTGTCGCTGCTGCGCCGAGCCGGTGATGCGCATTCTGAAGGACTATCCGGAGATGCCAGTAGGGAGCCCCGGGGCAACGGTGGCCATCGTGTTGGATGGTTTGGGGGTACCATCTTAAGAAATCCTCATAATTATTGTGGTTTACATCGATTGACCGTCTAGAAATTATCTATATGGTGTGATATGATTTATGATGTATGACTCATATGACTATGATATTGCATGAGCAAAATTTGAGATGCAATCATTGATATAGTACACTGGTTGATATCCAACTGGTCACATTGTCGCATGTCGTGATAAAAAGCAGGATATCAACCGGTGGCTATGCTAATGCGAAACAAGTGGATGGCAGCCTTAGCCAGGCGCTGATTTGTAGTTTCGAGTTCTTTCCAATGGAATTTTGATACCCTCTGGTTATTTAACATAGCCATGGAAAATGGTCCATTTATAGATGGTTTACCTATTAAAAATGGTGATTTTCCATGGCTATGTTAAATAACCCGATGGTAGATTAAAAAATTGCCACTCTGAGTACGAAATGTACTGTACAGTTTCTTCCAGAGCATTTTTGGGAAATCTGGATGCAATTGTCCTGGGTTTGTTTAAGGTGATGCTTTTCATTCTCTCAATGGAACATCCACCATTTTAAGTGTAATCTATAGTGAATATTCATGAATACCCTCTGGTAAACTAACATAGCTATTGAAAATCACCATTTATAGTGGATTTTCCCATTAATAGCATGGTGATTTTCCATAGCTATGTTAAATTACCAGAGGGTATATGATAATATATGTTCTATTTTATTGGGACCAGCAAATCCAAGTGTTGTGGTCCAAGGCCATTGTGAGATAAATCTGATCGGTTGAATCATTGATCATTAAACCCCCCGTTTTCAGACATTTTTTTGGGCCCAAACAGTCATGGAAAATACGATTCTAAAGTTCACAATGACCTTTACCAGTGGTACTACTGTGGATGGGCCAGCGAAATCCTGCATTTGGGATGGTTGAAACCCTATAAATAGTGGGATAAACATATATATATGTATATGTATGTATTTGTTTACATATACATATATGTAATATACATATAATATATGTATATAATAATAATAGTAATAATAATAGTAATAATAGTAATAATAATATGTAATGATGATATATCTTTAATAGAAATAGAAGCTGATGACGTTTCTCGACTCCCAGGAATGGAATCTCCAGTCCGACGAGGTGCGGTTTCGTAGCGATGGCTGGGATCAAAAAAGTCAAAAAAAGACTCCGGTTTAACCATTTAAATATATAGTTGGTACGGGATGATAATATAAACTCTGATATGTATCATATATATACACATTTAATTACCATATAACATAAACTAGATATGGACATATATTGATATATTTTTCAAAAAAACAACAAAAAACAGTGTTGTTATTGTTTATGTTATGTATCATTTCAACATAAACCCCTATGAAATGGGATTATAATCTATCATAATCTTATTTAACTAAGGTCAAACATATCCGATTGTTTAACTCCTATGTATCATTATAATCCCATTTAACACTGTGAAGGGCCATAACTCTAGATGTGTTGAAAGATTGAACTGTTGATGTTCCATAGCTATGTCGAATTACCAACGGGTATAATTGTTTTGTTGAACATTATATAAGATCTTCCTGCGGGGAAAAGTAGAAATCACCAACATGACAAAGGTCTCCATCATGGTCTATCGTTCCAGTCCATCCAGCACTGAGGGCAGGAATCCGCTTGGAGAATGAGGGAAAATAGACTGTTTCAAAAACATTATGGTATACTGGTCTACTAATGTTCCTTCTTGGAAATTATATATACATTTCGTTGAAGAAAGTTTGTTTTGTTTGTTGGGAGATCCACTAAGCCTTGCTGTGCAGATCGCCCATGGTCCTTTGCAGTGCATCACCTTGGAAGCTTGGCAGACGGGTAAAGAAAGGTTGTAACCGTGGAATTTCCTCCCCCCCAAAAAAGAGGACTTATTTAAGTAATGTGGTGTATATGGATTTTCCACATCTAAGTAGTATATCCATGTATATCCTGCATATATATATATATATATAAATAATGCTACAGCCCATTGAATATAGATCTAGAAAATGAAAGAAAACTCTGCATTTATAGATCTTTTCCTGGTAAAACCATGGGTTTTCCATATCTGTTGCTGTTTCCTGATCGGTGACCTTCCTAATGGTCCTAATGTATAGCAGAGGCTATAGCAAGCCCCAGAAAAGATATACAAAAAGTGGTTCCAGGATGTTCCAGGATTATATAGATGATATGTTCACATATTCCAGCTGCCCAACTAAATTGTAAGCACCAGTAAATGGGTTTATTCCAATCTCAGTTCCTAACAGCCTTTGAGGTGCCAGAACATCTCTTCTCGTTGATGCCGCAACTGGAGAAGTCCCAGGCACCTGGAACTTCAGTGGAGGTACCCGTACCGGTAAAGATACAAAAAGCATCAGACAGCTGCGCTGAAAATCCGGTTTTTTCATGGTAATTTGAACTGGAACAAACGAACTGGAACATCACCATGTTTGAACATTCCCATTTGTTTTGATGATTTACCCAACTTAAACATGGTGATGTTCCTGTTCGTTATTTTAGTGTACCAGGGGGTATTGTAATTTATTGGCCATATTTGGGTAGATTCCCTGAAATTGAGCCCTGACAGGCCTTTTTCTAGATGGTAGCTCCATGAATCGGTACCTGAATTGGCCATTGAGTGGTTACCTCGAAAGAGAAGGATTTCCTGCGGAGGGGATGGTAAAAAGATGGTAAAAACGGCGCTTGTGATCATGGTGATCCCTACTGACGTAAGGTGCATATTCTTTTGGAAACGCTTCGTTGGAAACGCTTCGTTGGAAACGCTTTAGAAATATGTCGCAACAGACTCATCCTGCATAGAGGTGGTCATTTGATCCGGCTTTGGCAATCATGTTCAATTGGAAAATGTATGAAAATGATGAACATGTGCTAGAGGAACCTTTCTTAGCGCTTAAGAAGGCTTGCAATTGGTTCAGCGCTCAAAAACCTAAAAGATGTTGGTCTTGAGTTCCCTTGCCGTCATCCTATGAACTTCACTAGCACGAACGTGTGCTAATCACAGGTTCACCAACGAGTCAACAAGATGTGAATCTTATGTCTTTGAGTTAAGCATGTTCTTCCCTGTTGCTTATTCTTGGCCACTGTTGCCAGCAAAGCTCTTTTTTGTTGGTGCTCCGCTTTTGTCGTCCTTGAATCATGTCTAATCTCTGTGTGTGAATGAAATGTATCATCCCTCACCCCCCTAAAAGGTACAACATGTGCAGCCTGATGTGTGTAGATCCCCTACTAAGCCATGGTTTCTGGGGGTGTCTAATAGTAGGAGGTTCCCCATTTCTGTGTTGGTGATATTCCCCCTGCTGCATCCATGTTCGGGAAATTCTTAAATATCTTGTGAGTTCGAGTATGTATGTAAACTGTATATATATAATTATATATATATATACGTATATACCTTCTACAAATGTAAAGAAACTATATAAAAGTGTAACAAAAGAAAACAGGCCATGTATTGTACTACGTTCAGATACATTTAGACATATGTTGTTATATAGTAATTAATATTTTATATTTAGCCACAAAATGACACATTTACATCATTTCAATCTTATCAAGTTACGGGTTGAACCACTACCCTATCCCGTTTTTTCTATCTCCACTAGGAAGGCTCTGAGCTTCAATGGCTTCCAGCGATCCTAGAAGCCTCTGTGGATGTGGTGGTCGACAAGGCGCGCCCTCCGACATGAGCGAAAGGTTTGGCGGTTGGGATGTGAGTTGTTTGTGCAGAAAAATTGGAGATCAACCAACAAATATGGGGATTTGACCAAGCACAATTGGGGATATATATATATATATATTATCTGATTGGTGGTTTGGAACATGAATTATTTGACTTCCCATATATTGGGAATATCATCATCCTAACTGACTAGCATATTTTTCAGAGGGGTAGGTATACCACCAACCAGTTCTGTATAGCTTCATGTTATAGTTGATGGTTCGGTCTGCCTGCAAATAATAGGGCAAAAATCCAGGAAAATGATGGATTCACTGGATTTGGGCTCAAAAAAACAGCAGGAAAAAGCAGCCAAAAACAAAGAAATGGAGGATATCTATATGGGTATGGGTCAATACCTATTAATACCATTTTTAGGGGAATGAACATCCATTTACCAGCTATTTTGACACACTGCCATATGGGACTATGTATCATCAAGAAATATATCAACCAAGAATTCTTGGGGGTAAAAAAACGTCTCCAAGACTTGCAGAGATCATGATTTTTTCCATAAGCAACAAACATGGGGATTTTTATACATCAACCAGTTTTTGGGATTGCCAGTAAGTGGGAATATTGACCAATGGAGTTGGTAAATGTTGGCAAATACCCTCTGGTAAGCAAACATAGCTATTGAAAATGGTAATTATTCAAAATGGTGATTTGCCGTTCTTATGTTAGTTTGCCAGAGGGTATCCCATTTATCCATTTCTTGTTATCTATTTTTGTTCAGTCAGTAGAGAGTCATTTTCTTCTAAGTAGAATTTGTGTGTCATAGAAGATTCTTTATATTGTGGCTTCACCGACTGAAGTCCTGTTGGTTGATGGTGGATATCATTAACCGGTTGGTTTAACATGTGTTATTTTTAACCCTAAAGATGGGACGATGATTTCTATTGATGAGCATTGATGAGCATAGTTTTCTTGGGATTTGAAACCACAAACCAATGATTTCTATGGCTGTTCGTTGAGTTTGAACACCACCAAAGTCACCAAAGGTCTTCTATTTGATGGTGACTCCAGGCCTGGTTCCCCTGACAGGCCATAGTGATGATCTGATTGGCACTTATCAGACAACCATCACTAGTCGGAGCTATGTTGTCTTTTCGGAAAGCCATAGTGTTGCCATTCGCAAGTGGTTTTTCTCGTCTTTGGGGAGTTAGATCTATTTAGATCTATATTTGATGCCAGCCTTTCACCCTATTCCTGCAGCACTTTTTTGTTTCCGACTTTGGTGTGTTTTTTTCAATTCGGGGGTAGTTACTACCCCCAATGAAAATATGGCAATTTCAATAGGGAACATGGTGATTGACCAATGGATTGAGGGATCCGTTGGGCGGCAGGTCATGAAGATCAGAGAGCTCACAGCTGCGGGCGCCAGTCAGTTGGCGGTGGATTTGGAATACCTTCGCAAGGCGATGAAAAACCGTGGGTCAGTCCGGGGGGACAGGTGGAAAAAGCAGTTTGGCATATTGGGAAATGGCAGTGTGTCAAAACCAATAGTACCCCTGTAGTTCACATCAAAATAGCTGGGATTTATGGATGTTCATCCCACTAAAAATGGTATTATATAATAGGTATTGATCCATACCCAAATGAGAAGCCACTTTTGTTTGAGGGGAAAAATGGTCATGTTACTGATGAGTTTTTTATTTGGCCAGTGTCCCTGCCTTGTATTTGGAGTGTTGGGATATCGGGTGTTCATAGCTGTGGTACACAAGAAAGATGGGCCGAGGATGGCCGAGGAGTATATAGATTAGGATCAAGTGCGTATGAATCAAAATTGGGTCACCCAAAGATAGATGCTGTCTGTGATCATCAACAAACAACATAGTTTTGTTGGGCAATCAGCCGATCATGTCCCAGCAAGGACATCATCAGAAATCCCTGCAATAAACATCAATAAATCAATAAACACATATTTCAATCTAAAACCCGGAAGTACTTGGACTGTTTTTGTGGTTCACATTTTCAGATGTCGTTGCTAGCTTTTGATTTCAAATATGTTCTAGAGGTAAGGGATTGCTATCGTTTAGGTCCAGGTCTTTGGCTACGACCTGAGGCATGAGACTCTTCTCATCAGATTCCTTTCCCATGACGGATCCTAACGGTGCTGCTATATATGGTGCTCCATGGATCCCATCAATATACCCCCTTTATGTTAGAATATATACCAGCACCATGGATCCTATGGGTTTGGTGGACCTCATAGAATTGGCGGCACACTCGGCTTTAATACGCCTTCGAGTTCTTGAAGACTGATCAACGTGAAGAACTCACTGGCAGAAGAGGGGCAAGTTCTTGGCCTTTGATATCTTCGTGCGGCAAGTACAGCTGGAATCACCGCTGCTTCTTTGGATCCGCTGGTTCATTCTGAGGGCTTGCATTGAACATATTTATGGGCCTCTGATCGTTGGACACCAGCAAAGTCTTGGTGTAACTTGAACCCGATGGGGCTCTTTCTTGCATTGGCAACAACAAAATCGATCAGTTTCCCATTTTGCTTGAAGGGTTGAATTCCCACGGCGGAGTTTTCCGCGAAAGAAATTCACATTTTTCATGTGTCGCTATTTTTTGTTTTTTTTGTATATGTTTGTTGGTTCTATTCCCAAGGATTCAGCTCAATCCTGGAGTCCTAGAGGTCTTGCCTTTCTCCTAGCATTAATCACGCCCCAAAAAAACCTGCTGGAAGGTATGTAATGGATAGTGATCTATCCATGTTTTGGGCGGAAAACTTGGATATCTAAATTTATTTAGATGATCTGGGGAATCGATCAGTTGGATGTGATGTTTTATTTTTTTTAAGGATATTTGGGGTATTAAAAACCACAGATTAAACAAGAACATATTTGAGATATCAACCGTCGGACGATTTTGAGATATGTCTCAGAGAAACCCGTCTTCAGAAAAAAAAATCCAAACCATCCCAGCTAAATTGTTCTGTACAATTTCAAAGATCATCAAGAAAACAACTTTGCATGGAAAAACCATGGAAAAACTGTGGTTTTCCTTTTTTGCATTCAAAAAGCGTTGAAAAAAACCACGTCGGGAATCTGCTATGAGGTTCCAGATGCCTTGGGCAGCACTGGAGGTCCGAGTCCGACATGATGTGACATGTGACATGGGCCTTCCTTATTTTTTGTGGCTTAACGAGGCTTGAGCATATAAACAGACCCAACATATAAGTACATATAGGTGAATGATATTGGATGATATTGGTATATGTTGAAACCTCTGAAACCTCTGATTTCCCAAATCACGGGATTTCTAAGGCAAAATTATCCCCTTAGCATTCCATTTTTATGCTGGGATAAATCTAATCGCTATGACTCACCAGGGTAAAAAATAAACCATAAGTTGGGATATAGTTCCTGTACCTCTGGGATTTCCCGAAGAAATTTTTGTCGGAGCTGACTCAGTACCACCTGCTGGTCAGCAGCTGGTCCCTTTATAGGGAGATCTTGCAGACCATTGAAGACGACAGCATCAACCTGATCGACGGCGGAGAGGTGGCTGAAGTCTTCAGGCACCAGACATTCCTCGAGCTGCAGCAGCGATTCCATGTCAATCGAGAATACACATCCCGATGGAGTGGGTGGCCTCCAGGGATCCCGCAATGGCAGGGCCCTTTGATTTGCTGCGCCCCGCTGATTTGATGCCTGAACATCCACCGTGATGGCTACGTGGATTCCAGGTCTACGCATGGCTCCTCGACATTGCCCTGCTTCGATCTCGCCATTGTTTTTGGCATCTGCTGCAATGGCCTTGAGACAGTAGCCACAAAATTTTGAACAGGTGACAACGTTGCCTTTTTTGATCCAAAGGTGAAAGAAATGGTGACTTTCACTCATGTTCGGTCATCCTATCAATAACGCGAATTGCAAAAGGACATAAATATAGATATTTAATCATGTGGTTAAAACAATAATAAACCATCCCGACATCACCATTTTTATGGTTGGTATGTTTACCATTTCCAAATGGGTGGTTTATGACATTGTTTTAACCACATTACACCCAAAAGTAGTCCTCATTTTGACCCAAGGTTTGACACATTCCCAGTTTTTGTTAGTAAATCCTTCAATGTTTGGTTGATGCAAGTGGCTGTCTAAGTCAAAATAGTAAAATATTCATTTTTTGAAGCAGGGCGCCAGTAGGAATGTTTGTTTCTTCCTGTCAGTTCCTTTGAAACGGCACAAACCACAACTCAACATACAACAAACAAACAGATTTCACAGAAAAAAACATGCGTTACCCTGCTACAAACCAAAGAAATCTAAACAAAACAGCTGTTGCAAACTTGTTACATGCAAATCCATTTCGAAAAATCCAAGGTGACTACGGTACATTACAAAACACAAATACCAGCCACAGATGCTCCAAAGCCACCCGTTGGTCGCTTGAAGCCACTGGTGCTCCAGGAGCTGATGGCGCTGCGGGGCGCTTGAAAGACCTGCTGGAGGTGGGGCTGTTGGAGCAACCAAAAAATATCTGGGTAAATTCTAACAACCTCACTACGACCTCACTGGAAATGATGGTTAGTAAGTGAAATTATCATGAATTATCCCAATATGGTCTTATTTCATATCTTATTCCAGGTTAGTGAATAATTAACCCATATATGTATAACTATATATATATTTGGAGATAGATATGATGAATAGAATGATGTCGTTGTATGCTCCTTCTGTATGTTGCTTGATAAACCTACGAAACCGATTTAAAACTGTTAAATAATGTTTATTGTTCAAACAGATTTACAGATGTCAACAAATATATGTACGACATATAGCTATAAATATAATATGGGTATATTATTTGGATAGGTTATCGTAATTCACTAACCTGAAATAATGCCACTTGGGCATAGTCACCCTTAGTAAGCGTTTTTTGTTATCCAGATAGAAAAGGGCCTGTCTGAAAATATGGGATACCTTTCAAAGTCGCCATTTACCCTCTGGTTATTTAACATAGCCATGGAAAATGGCCCATTTATAGATGATTTTCCCATTAAACCTCCATTCATAAGCGATTTTCCATGGCTATGTTAAATACATGGGGTGCCCTTGCCCTGTTCAGACAAGCCCATCATATTTTGGGGCCGAATGGACAGCGGAAAACCAGCTACCAGATGTGGACAGCAGGATACTGGGTTTTTCATCCATAGCCGCATTTGGGTAGATTACACATTAGACTAAACTAACATAGCTATGGAAGATGGCCCATTTATTGATGATTTACGGATTGAAAATGGTAATTTTCATAGCTATGTTAGTTTACCAAATGAAATGCATGCGTTGCATTCTCAAAACTCACCCAACATTCATCGACAGAACGCGAACGAATCAAATTGTAAGGGACCGTGCCAAAAGCTACAACGTAGAGGTGACGGAAATCTCTGTTGTATGGAAAAAACGAAAACTCAAAAAGAGTAGGCAGACCAAAACTGGATTGGCTGAATGAAACAGCAAAGGATGCTTTACACGCCCTCGGTAGAGTGGCGCCGCCGCACCCCAACCAAGCTGACATAGATTACTTGGCGGAGGCTGCTATTCTCCGAAGAGGTCCTTTTTAGTCACCAAGAGTCACCGGCCATACTCGGCCATCAGCCAATGGCAAGCCACGCGTCTTCATTGGCGATTGGAAAAATGTTAATTTACCAGAGGGTAGATGTAAAGGATGGTGGATATATTTGCAATTATTCCCAACCGGCCGAACTTTTCAGGTGAATCATGAAAACTTCGGAGGTTAACGAAGAAATTTATGATTCAATCAGCACCTTGATAAATTGATTTAATCCACAACACCTGGATTCTAATATATCATCAAAATTGTGATTTCAGAAACAGAAACAACATGATTCTGGGCTGAAGAGAGACATTGGTTGCGAACAGTTTGGTGGATGTTTTAGCCTTAACTTGTCAAAGAAGTATCCAAGGTCGGTGATGAGAATGGGGATATCCTCCAAAATGATGATTTGGGTATAGGGGTATCAACAATTTTGAGTTGACCCAATAAAATACGGCGTGATTCTAAGTGCAGAAGGCAAAAGGATATCACACCGAAGAAATGTGCGTTGATTGTTTTGTTATGCTAATCAGATTTGAAACATGATCCATGTTCGGAAATCATTGTCAGAGAAATTGCGAGTGCTGAAATTAAGGACACACAGTGATCAGACAATAATAGACAATAATATCCATTGATGATCTGATGATCTGATGGTGAACTTAATGGAGATTATGCCCAATCCAGGGCGGGAGATCCCAGAAATTGACCGTCCGCGGGTCAGTCTCTGAGAATCTAATCTGGCAAATGTCTGGTTGCCAGGTGAAGGGACTTAACTGAAGCACTCAAGTCTTCAAGTCCCCATGTTGGCAAGATATCCAAATGCTCCATAATTGGTAGTAAAATCCAGATGTTCACGGCTAGAAAAAACACATGTTTGATGCTTAAAATCGACATGATTCAAGGTAGAAGAGCTCAATGTTTCATGGCAAAATTCATCAAACATCCCCATGTTTGCCAAACATCTGCCATCTATAGATGGGTATGGATCAATACCTATTAATACCATTTTTAGTGGGATGAACATCCATAAATCCCAGCTATTTTGATGTGAACAGAAGGGGTACAATTGGTTTTGACACACTGCCAGATGATTTCCCCATGTTTTCCCACCTGTTCCGATAATGTGTTCCATGATTTCCTATATTTCCCAGGCGGCTAAACCTATAAAATTCGCCTCAAGTCGCACCCAACACCGACAGACGGTGGAATATTTGGCCTTGCAGCAGCGGCGCAAGAAGGAGTTGGGGCAACCCAGATTTCCCATGGGAACGAAATGGAGGTTTTACCCTCTGGTTATGTCAAAATAGCTATTGAAAATGGCCATAGAAATAGTGGATTTACCCAGCTAGAAAATGGTGATTTTCCATAGCTATGTTAGTTTACCAGAGGGTAATAGGAAAATCATCTGCAAACCCATCTATGGATGGTTTTCCCAGCTAGAAACTTCCATTTAGTTCGGGGAATTCCCAGCCACAAGTGATTACATAAGAGTTCTCCATGGAAAAAACAAAACGATGATGATGTAATACCAGCAATTTGATGATGATGAAACAGAATGAAAACATGAGCAAAATGGTGATTTAATCAGAAGCACGTGAGATAATTAGATATGTAACCATCAGAGAATGTGGGATTGAACCATCAAATGTGAGGATTTTAGCATCAAACATTAGATTTAAGATTTAAGATGTTTATATAACATCATTTCAAGATAGGAACTGAATGATCCAAATTCCCAGCATCTCAATTCAACATGATTTGACACGATTTGGCTGATTGTAGTCTTTGGCAATCTAGGCTGGTTTCAAAGTCACAATGACGAATTTCGAAATTTTATATGTGGACCTAAATGAGGATGTTTCATGATGTTTCTTGATGTACCAGAGGGTACACACCAACATTCTTGAAAAATATGCAGCATGTGGGTATGGGTCAAAATTAGTACCAAAAATTCTTGGATGGTAAATACTAAACATAGATTTACCCTTTGGTAATTGAACAGTTCGCTATTGAAGCCATGGCCCATTGAGTTCGTTGATTTACCTATAAAACATGGTGATTTTCCAGTTTGTCAAACGTTTACCAGAGGGAAAATCTGTGGTCCACCCATTGCCGCGAGTCTCCTGAGAGTCGGAATTGTGATCGCTCCACGAGGTGAATCTTAGATGGGTACTTCAATCCTTTAGTCACTAAAGTCTGTTGGTTTCAATGAGAGTATCTACGTTCACCAGCTAAGAAATATTTTTCTTGCAGGGTATCTAAGATTGGCACGGGGAGTTCCTCAAAATGTGGAAACCCGAACCCCCTAAATCCAAAAATAATCATTTGCTGGTAGGGAAACATTGGTTTAAGTGGGATAATCCAATTTTGAGAAACACACATACCCTCTGGTAATTTAACATAGCTATTGAAAATCACCATTTATAGTGGATTTTCCCATTAAAAATGGTGATTTTCAATAGCTATGTTAAATTACCAGAGGGTACAATCAAAATTGATACCATCATACATTGAATCCTGATGGTTCAATCGTGTTCCAACATTTAAATCCCCCGTCTCCCGTAGTTCCAAGGTGCATGGCTCAGGGCGTCACATATGTAGAGGTGCCGTGGGCATTAAGTGGGAGGTGTTCCAGCCACATGGACGATGTAATTAGTGATTTTATGCCACCCTCAAAAATGCCAAATATAATATATATATATGATATAATTATATATATATGCATATATGTGCCATTTTTCACCAGTAGATTTAGTAAATTACATATATATATATATATATATAGAAAAATATCGTATATATGTACCAGTAGATGGACGATGATATAGGGTACCTTTGAGACTCTATATCTACTGGTGAATCATGTCCTATCAATTCATTGCCATGAATTGGGGGTACACCCACGAAAAAAAGACACACCCAAACTATGCCAAGTGTCCCAGCATGTCAGCTTGGTGAAGAATCACAAAATGTTGCGAAAAGAACTGCGCAAATTAACGTTGTGGCCGTGGTCATGGGCAAATTGTAACGATCTCACGTCGTGACCGAGCCCTGGAATCATGGTTAATAAGGGAAATCATCCCCAAATGACCTTGATTCAGGTTAGTGAATTACTATAATTTACCCAGAATTTTCCAAATAGATACAACGAGCTGTTTGGTATATTCAGTGTTGGTTTGGTTGATTCTGACATTGTAAATTTCCATCTGAATTACTGCAATACGGTTTTGGGATTATTCCCAGAATTAAATCTATGGTTGTTCACTGGAAACTCCTTTATTTGTTTTGTTTAACGGGGAACTGATGGTATTCTCTATGTTTTGTTTCTGAAACCAATACATTGAATACGCGACATTTATTTTCATGATGTTTGCAGGTGACTATTATCGTACAATATTCTTGGTTTCATTATTACTTCTAGTGTTAGACAGTAATTCTTATATAGTGTTGTATCGTTTTATTTAATGTTCTTCTTAGTATTGATATGTATTGATGGTCAATCCATATTTGTGTTAGTGTTTGTTTGTGGTGGAATCCACGTTTCTGAATCGGTTTAACCGAAAAAACGTCCCGGTTTTCCATTAAAGTTAAGACTCCGGTTTTACCGACAACACCCAAATCATTTAAGGTGAAGGTGAACATGTTTTTTGATAAAGAAACATCAGCCAATTGTGATGAAATCTTTGTTGGGTACACTGAAAATGACTAGAAAGCCATGATATTGATCTTAGGTTTGAGTTTGAAAACGGGTCCAGTGATGATGAGAATGTTAATACGAATAATAATGATGATTATTTGGATGATTTTGATGATGATTGCTAGTGTTATTATGAAAGGTAGTTTAGAAGTCCGTAGTACTTCCGTTTTACGGACATTCAAAAGTCAACACAACCACCACCACAACCACCGCTATCAAAACTACCACTATCACAACCACCACTATCACAACAACAACCACTTTCACAACCACTACTATCACAACCACCACCATCACAACCACCACCATCACCACCGCCACCACCATCACATCCACCACCATCACAGCCACCACTAGAAAGCTTCGTTGCTTTGTTTTCACATCTTCAACTTTCACTTTTTGAGGGAAGTCTCGCGCAAAAAAGCTTTGTTTTCACATCTTCAACTTTCACTTTTTGAGGGAAGTCTCGCGCAAAAAAGCTTTGTTTTCACATCTTCAACTTTCACTTTTTGAGGAAAGTCTTGCAGAAAGTCTCGTTTTTACATCTTCAACTTTAAGTTTTTGCAGGAAGTCTTGCACGGACGCTTCGTTTTTTTTTACATCTTCAACTTTCAGTTTTTGAGGAAAGTCTTGAATGAACGCTTCGGTTTCACATGTAGAAGTTGCAGTTCAATTGCGACGAGTTTTTGGTGATTTTTCTTGTTTTGGGCGCCTTTCATGTTTAATGTAGGTTACAGATTAGTGTGGGGAGGCCCCCCCCCAAACAAATTTGGGGCACAGAATAGTGTAAAAAAACCAAAGTAGAGGGTACAGAATAGTGTAAAATAAAAAAAAAAAAGATTTAAATTGATTTCAATTTACTTTCAATTGATTTCAATTTACTTCCAGTTGATTTCAATTTACTTTCAATTGATTTGAATTTATTTTGAATTGATTTCAATTTACTTTCAATTGATTTGAATTTATTTTGAATTGATTTCAATTTACTTTCAATTGATTTCAATTTACTTTCAATTGATTTGAATTTATTTTGAATTGATTTCAATTTACTTTCAATTGATTTGAGTTTATTTTGAATTGATTTCAATTTACTTTCAATTGATTTGAATTTATTTTGAATTGATTTCAATTTACTTCCAGTTGATTTCAATTTACTTTCAATTGATTTGAATTTATTTTGAATTGATTTCAATTTACTTTCAATTGATTTGAATTTATTTTGAATTGATTTCAATTTACTTTCAATTGATTTCAATTTACTTTCAATTGGTTTGAATTTATTTTGAATTGATTTGAAGTTACTTTGAATTGATTTCAATTTACTTTCAATTGATTTCAATTTAATTTGAATTGATTTGAAGTTACTTTGAATTGATTTCAATTTACTTTCAATTGATTTCAATTTACTTTCAATTGATTTGAAGTTACTTTGAATTGATGTCAATTTATTTTGAAATGATTTCAATTTACTTTCAATTGATTTCAATTTACTTTCAATTTACCTTCAATCGACATCCCATAGAAATCCAATAGTAGTCCCAAAGAAATATCATAGAAATACCATGGAAATCCCATAGGAATCTCGCAGAAATACCATAGAAAGATCATAGAAATAACATGGAATAGCATAGGAACCACAAAAGAAATCCCATGAGAATTCCAATAATAATCCCATAGAAATATCATGGGAATACCTTGGAAATCCCACAGGAATCCAATAGAAATTCCATAGGAATCCAATAGAAATACCATAGAAATACCATAGGAATCCAATGGAAATCCCATAAGAATACCATAGAACTCCCATAGCACCCCTTCAGAAATCCCATAGAAATCCTCCAGAAATATCATAGAAACATCATGGAAACCCCATAGGAATTCCATAGAAATCCAATAGTAATACCATAGAAATACCATAAAAGAAAAAAGCTTTAGCAAAGGAAAAGGTAAAGGAAATGATTGAAAAAAACAAAAAATCATGACCTCAGGAAGCAGCAGGACACAATAGTGTACCCTCAAACAAACCACACTATTGTGTATCAGGGTTGCTCATGGACTACCCCCTTGAACAATTGTTTGAGTGATGTGTTTTAATTGGGTTTTAATAAGGCATCATATATTTTGGGAAACTGTGCATTTCTGAGAATTTCAAATGAAAGAAACTAAGAAAGGAATTAAGTAATTAAAAGAAAAAACTTTAGCAAAGGAAAAGGTAAAGGAAATGATTGAAAAAATCAAAAAATCATGGCCTCAGGAAAGCAGCTGGACACAATAGTGTACCCTCCAAACAAACCACACTATTCTGTATCAGGGTTGCTCATGGACTACCCCCTTGAAAAATTGTTTGAGTGATGTGTTTTAATTGGGTTTTAATAAGGCATCATATATTTTGGGAAACTGTGCATTTCTGAGAATATCAAATGAAAGAAACTAAGAAAGGAATTAATTAATTAAAAGGAAAAAACTTTAGCAAAGGAGAAGGTAAAGGAAATGATTGAAAAAATCAAAAAATCATGACCTCAGGAAGCAGCAGGACACAATAGT